AAGGAACAAACGGAACAAAAAAAATTGTGGTAGCATTAATACATCAAAGGATTAAAATAAAGCACATATCAATAGGAAGCGTATGTGCTCTTACACTTAATTTTTTATTCCTGGGTTTCTTTCATCATTTTTATTGATAGAATTAATTCGTAATGCACATTCGCGTAGAGCAATTTAGGGATAATCATGCAGAAAAGGTTTTAAGCCCTACTAAACGATTTGTTACCTTTTTCATTCCTAACTTCCTCTTTCCTGGATTGTGTTTTCAAAAAACGGCATTCCTTCCTGGTCAATTAGAATGGAGAAATGTTTTGGAATAAATTTGCATTCGTAAATTTAATTGAAAGACTGGCTCGTGCAATTTTGTTGATCGTTGAAAATTCTCTGCGTGCTTATTTCTCTAAATAGCACTCGAAATTATGTGATTGCCTGTACAAATGGATTGCAACTTTATATTGTTTTCTGGACTTTAGCGCGTCATGTAACATTTTATTTATTGTACTTTCAGAAAAGAGCTGGAAACATGGCGTCAAGAAAAAATCAAAACATTGCCATTCCTCTTTGTTTACCCAACAACTGCCGGTGGAACGCAGCAACTGGAAAATATATTAAAACCGGACGACAGCGAACGTCTCTGTATGTGGTGGAGGAAGCGCTGAAGAAGCTTAAGACTGTGAAAGGTATACTTTCTGTCCAATGCTTCATGGTCCTCAGTTTTTGCATAACAAGTTTTACTTTTTATAAATGTCCAAGCTCTTACTGGGAGCAATGGGAACTGCACACATGTAATCATGATATAGATAAGAGGAGCGTCATGGCTACCACTTGCCTGCACTGATTTTGTTTACAGTTCACTAACCTGTTTTCGCACGCCTAAAAAATTGCTTAAGTGGGGGGACGGGAGGGTGATTCTCCTTATTACTCTATCGACAATAAATATCCTTACCCATCAAATGTCGTCTGTGAATGTAAAGTTCTCTACACACACACGTTCAAGTAGGCATTTGGAAGAATGTGCAATTGTTAAATAATGAAACACAAAAATGATTATTATAGAATAAAAATGGGCAGAGTAATATCTGCTTTTGTTTGATTCGGTTTTATAGTTAACGTGGATCTCGAGCTTCTCAGTTTATCTTGATGCAGTTGTTTTAGTTTCAACAGTAACTCAGAGGGGTCGCAGGTTTTTCTTTTATAATCTACGATTCAAATATTTCGTTTTGCATACTTAACCAATCAGAAACACGACTTAGACGCACCACAGATTAGTCACATTACTTTTCCTGCAATTGACTGGTCATAATGATGTTCATTTTGATTTGCGACTGTCACTAGAAGCACATTAAAAAACTGCTTTTTGGCTTTAAAACTTCTTTCTGGGCTGGATCTTAATCTTGGAGATTAAAGTCGAACTCGTTTATCAAATTCGGTCTACCTGTGATCAGGCTAATAAATTCCTTTGTATGCCCATATAATAAATTGGTGTGACTGTTTCAAACGTAATTTAAAGTGATTTACAACTGCTAAAGTTTTATCGATATTGATTAAGATATGTTTCATTACATTTCCCATGTGTAGGTCCCGTGTGTGTTGTATCGATCGCCGGTCCATACAGAAAAGGGAAGTCGTATATTTTGAGCGAAGCTTTCGATCAACCCGAGGTGTTCCCTCTCGGGCATCATTTTGATCCTGAAACTGTTGGAATCTGGATGTGGATAGTGCCACAAAAAATGCGGGTGAGTTCACATTAATCAAGTAATTAAAATGCTTCATCCATAGCTTGCAGTTGCGTTACTGGAAAAACAATGTAAATGCTTGAAAGAAAGCTTCAACTGTTCATTTTCTCCTGGTAACTGTGGCTGTATCTTTCTCATTTATGGACACGATTATTAAATTTCAATTGGCAAAAGCATCGCAGTTTTCGAACTCATTCAGCATTAAGGGTACAGGACAGATGTTTTGATTTGTAGACCAGATTTCTATGTCAATAAAATGTGTTTTAATGACTATATTTAGGGCTTATTAATGTCGAATTAACTTGTTGGAAGGTCCTTGTTAAAAAAGCTGAGGTGGGGGCAGGAGGGTCAATTTCTGCACTGCTGTGTTCGGCAATAGGAAATTTAAAAGGAAACTTAAAAAATGAAGAATCACTCTTATAACATACATTTTTCAAGAAAAATTTGGCATCCTTTGTCTGTGGAGACGTTGCGATAATCTCAAATTTATGAAAGCTAAGAAATGTCAAAATTTGAAATCACTATACCCCCCGTTTCTAGCCAAAACTAAGTTGCACTGCTTTAGCGGTCATTTCAGAATAGCAAGTTACTGCTGCCTCCAAAACAAGTTAAATTGGAATCACCCCTTCACACTAGAGCTTGTGCAACTTGAAACTGGCTGTTTCTGTTTTTCAGGACTCCACTGGCAGGGAATGTACCGTGGTCTTATTAGACTCAGAGGGAATTGATGCAGTAATGGGAGAAGGTTTGGATGACAATCAGATATTTACTCTCACTGTTTTGCTGGCTTCTGTTTTGATCTACAACTCAGCAGGGGTTCCCACCAGACATGACCTCAATGGATTGGAGTATCCTTCACCAAATACGTCAGATTTTTGGAGTGGAGAGATAAGCAGAGGGAGGAAAAGAGTCCATAAATGAGGCATATTTCTGTGTGTTCTTAAAGGCTTGTATAAGTGAAATACAGGCTCGGTATTTTAACGGTTTTAACGCGTATTCCAAGAGAAAATTTCATATGGATGTAAAATTTATCTTAAAAAAGGTTGCTGAAAAGCACTTGGAAAGCATGTGTAAATGACTTCGGCTGCGCAAAGTGTTCTCGCATGATTTTTAACTAGTTCTTGAAGCCTAT